CTCAAACACACACACACACACACACACACACACACACACACACACACACACACACACACATTATATATATTTATATGTATATTGTAACCCTTAACAACAGACTGACCTTGTTGTATTGTGTCCAGCAGTATCTCAAGCCTCATGTTGATGGAGGAGAAGAAAGCAAAGAAGGCAAACTGTCCCAGGACACACCACAGCATGTGGAGGAGGTAGCGAGGACACAGAAAAACAGCGCGCATCGACACATTGTCCGCCAGACCGCTAGTGACGTCAGTGCCAGGGCTAGTAGCATTTGTGACGTCGTCGTTGAGTTCTGTGTGACGTGTGACATCACCGTTGATTTCAGTGTGATGAGCGACGTCACCGTTGAGTCCAGTGTTATGTGTGACGTCATGGCTGGATTTAGTTTCAGGCGTGACGTCATCGCTGGGTTTAGTGGGAAATGGAACATCATCGCTATGTTTCGTGTGATGTGTTACGTCACCGCTGGGTTTAGCAATACATGCGCTCACAGCATGAGGCTTATCCCCTTTGTCGTCTCCCTCACCCGTTTCGTTATGTTTTGGCAAGATGTCTGAATAAGAAGTCTGTGATAAAACCTCGTTCCCCGATTTCGCCAGCGACTCAACACCCGAGGAGTACACCTTGACAGGCCACTGTTGTCCCGAACCGAGAGAGAATTCTTCACCGTCTTTGGTGTAGCTGGCATTGTCATGACCTGATTTGTCTGGAGGGAGGAAAAAGAAATAATGACTGTTTTACTTTGAAAATAAATGTGAAATGGTATAGGTTTAACGCCCCTCCCTCCCTTTCAACACAATGAAGTTCTCTAAACGGCGGCACCTCCGTGTTAAACGTCCTTTTCCGAAAGGGCCGAGCCAAATAAAACATTCGTGTAAAGTGCCTTTCTCAGAGATTCAACGTTGGATTGAGCTGAATCTCGAACCCCTAAGCCGCAATCTGACGATTAAGGGTCCGATAGTCTAACCATTACCGACGCCCCCTTTCTGAGCTGCAATGGATTTCTTTTCAACGATTGTACATGCATGTAAGGTGTTTTCTCTTGAGTCTAGATCAACAGACTTCAACATAAGTTAAGAACCACTTGTAAACACTCTTAGTGGTCTTATTGGGCCGACCTGCACGTGGGCGTTCTTGGACTGACCCAGTGGTTTGATGGCGCTGCCTCAGGCGGACAATGACAGAGTGTGACACTGCAAGCCTTCTGGCAACTTCTCGAGCTCCAACTCAATCCTGCGGCCATGCCAGAGCCCTGGCACGATCAAAGTCTCTCAGCTTTCGTCTCGTTGGCATATTGATGCAATACTGGATTTTGCACAAACGGTGGCTTATATTGCCACCACACGTCCGTTTATGACGTGCACAAGAAATTTTAACGTTGGAATGTCCGTGGTGTCGCACACAAGTCGATAACAAACAGCACATTTGGCTACAATACCCCGAGGATTTCCGTGCAGCACGTGACGTGGTGGTTTTGCCTCTTTAGGAAACTTTGCAGTACGCATTGGTAACCCATTAACACTTTCACAGCAAAAAAAAATTGAAACAATCCTTCCTGTCTTTTTATCGGATTAAAAAAAATCAGGGCTGTCTGTCAAGGTGGTCCTTAACTTATATTGAAGTCTGTAGATGCAGGCATTGGCAAGTTCGTTCATCCAGTATAATGTAGAAAAACCAGCAGCAATAACAAAGAGGACCTTGCCAACAATAACAATGACAATAGCATACTCCTCCTCCTCCTCCTCCTCCTCCTCCTCCTC